CACTACTGCTACTGCAGCAAGGATGACTACTGGCAGCACAAGGAAGAAGAAAATCAGCAGCCCATCCCGAAGTGATGTATCTAGAGAAAAAGAATTTAAAAAATGMAATTTAAAATATCAAAGCTGGTTTTTTTTTAATAGAAACACCTTTCTATTGTAATAACTACAGTCTTCAAATTGTTGTATATTAAAATTAGAAACGTCACTGAAATTTGCAAAATGCTACAATCAGAAAAGTAAATTAGGCATTATGTTATCAAAAGTTCTTTCTACATTAACCACCCTATGATGTACAAACCTTTTCCTTTTGCACATATTTTTCAAAAAGTCTAAAACAGAAAAATTTGTTTTGTATTTTGCTTACTCACAACTGATCTGCCCATCTTCTTTGCCTTCCTATACCTTTAATAAATACAAAACATTTTTTCCCTTTCCTAAAATATGAATTTAGTAAAATTTCCCATATTGTTTCTGCCCTCACAAAGCTGCAGATGAGAAATTTTGTTTTGAAACATAGAGTGAGAAAATATTTTAACTGGTTTCTCAGTTAATCCCAGTAAGCCACTGGCCACTACATAGAATGAAAAACATGAGTAAGTAAAAGAAAAATTGGAAATATCTATGAGGAGACTACAAATGGCTTTACATAAAATTATAAACATACCTTTCCCATATGGAGGTTCAGAGTATGACTTAAAACTCTCACACACTCCATAGTAGCAGTAAGTCTCGCTGTTGATGCATGGGAAAACATAATCCGGACACTTGGCAATGCTTCCGTTGCAGTATTCAATTTGACAGAAATAGCTTTCTTCTGTGCACTTTACTGATACCACTTTAAACTGCAAGCAGAGGAAGGACACTTAAATAGTTTGCAACAGTGCAAGTTCCAGTGTGGAACAATGACAACTGGGAATATTTAGTGATTTTAAAAAAGACAAATTCTCTTCTTACAAGCTATCAGCTGGTGAATGTCATTTGAAAATCTGTCAAAAGGACTAGAATAGCTCTTTTCAAACATTACAAAATCCTAGTGAATAGCAACAATTCAGTTTAATAAAGCATTGTGTACCTCGCAATTTTTGCAGCACAGTCCTTGAGCACATTGTGATCCAGGTGTGGGTTTGCAGTTTGCAGCATCACAGCAGGAGTTGGAGCATTCCTGAGAACAGCCACGAACAAGGGGACACTGTTTTTAATCTCTTTACAGAGCTAGGAAAGTACCTGGTCAGTCCAAGTGCATGGACAAGCCAAACTTCAAATCACTGTGTCATGTTCTGACATCCTTTTGCTCTAACAGGAACCAACAGACACTGTGGCTGTGTTTTATTTCTACAAGCCACCAGAAAAATGCCTGGTTTGATGTGCTGTGGCACAGGGATGCCAATGGAACCAAGGGTTGCTGACAGCCTTTTGATTTATTGATGCCTTTCTTGAGACACTTTTACTTTTTGAACAATGAGCCAATACATCCCATTCTTGGAGGCATGTTTCCACAATGCAAATGTGACTCGAAAGTAATTTTGTGTGGTCAGAGTTACAGTCAACAAATTTGTATGTGTTCTATAGATAAACACTCTGTCATGCAACAGAAATATCCATGATGCTAAAAAGGAACAAAATCCAGTGGTGTTTCCACATACCCTGCTCTGAAATGCACTTCTTTTTCAGCAGTGCCTCAAAGTTCTGTGAAGTCCAGTAGCCCTTAATTGAGTCCACATCAAAATCAAAGCATTACTTTAAGCTTTTACTAAAATTTACCTTAATATTGCTTGCAAAAAGACAAAATTACAAGGAAAACTCCTCACATATTAATGCAATCAGGCATGCCAAAAGGCCAGTATAGTATGACATTGATGCCTAAAGATTTTTGCTTTTTATTCATTTTTCATATATTTGTAGCTCTGTAGACTTTTAATACATGGTTATATAGCTCCTGGTATTTTTCCTACCCTTTCTCTTCAGTTTTAGAATAATAAGCTAACCCTCCTAATACATACTTGGAACTTAGTTTAGTYGTATTCTTAAGAAGAGAATTCCTGACAAGGACATTTTCTTTTCTTAACAAGAAATAAAGCAAAGAAGGTGCTGGAGGAATCCCAAGGGCCAGACCCAAGAGGGCAGCTTAATCTCCTGTTGGATTCATCTGCCAGATACCCTAATTAATTAACGTTATAAAAATGGTATGAATCTGATTGCACACATGAGCATAGCCATTCCTGTGCGCCTGAAAGCTTTCATTAAAGATCAGCTTTTATCTGACCATTTTAACCCTGTTGCAAGGCTTTCTTTTCTTTTTTATCAGCTTTCTTTTCTTTTTTATATTGATATGATATGATATATGATATATGATATACAAGATATATATGATATACAATCCCGTTGAATTTCATCCATTACCTCCAGGTTGATAGGGAAGACCCTTTGATTGCTAGAGTGCAGATCAGGACTACAGGCAGCTTCGGATTGCCYGGCAGGAGCACCCTGGGTCCCAGACATTTCGGCTGGTAAATAACACAGAAAACAGAAATTTTCGGCTCCCCTGAAGTTACTGAGTAGAACTTGGAAGAGTCACGGGCAAAATGGATGAAAGGATGTAAACATATGCAGAGAGGATGATAAACGAAGTGCAACCAGTGAAAAGGAAAAGGAGGGGCACGCGGGTAAGCCGAGTCCGTTGGCCGGGCGCGGCCCCGGGACGGCTCGGCAGATTGTCACGTGTCGGTAGCCTTTCCACTCGTTCTGGCTTTAGTTTTTCGTCTTTTTTAGCTCACAAGCAAGCAACAGTGCACACCCAAAGTTAAAGGAAAGGCGCTTTCATGTCGAAGCATTCAGCGAAGATGAATACCAGAAACTCCTTTTGATGATTTTCCAGGACCACAAAAGGTTCCGAAAGGAGGAGCACGCAAAGTAGCTCTAGGAAAGTGATGTATCTAGTACATAAACACATTGTAATGATTATGAATGATTATAATGTATAAATACCTTGGTATAAAGTCTCACGACRCACCCCAAAACGAGGAGATATCCGATGCATGTCCTGCGCAGATAAAGAAAGCYCTGCTTTCGAATGCTTCCAATTTCGTTTAAAAGTTTATTCCGGCCGATTTCGGTATGCGGTGCAGCAGCAAAKTTCCGATCACGGAGAGCGTCCCGCCGCGGTGTAAATGCCCCGTGCTGCCCAGCTCCCGCGAACTAAGTACCAGGACTGGGCGTGGCGGCGGAAGTGAACGCGCAGGCACAGCCCGGGGATTCGATAGGCTGAGGCGGCCTCGCCTCAGGGTTGGGCCGATGAGCAGCGGAGTGGGCGGTGTCGCCAGCGGGTTGGGCCGAACTAGCCACGCCAGTTGCCTCTCAAGGAACCTACCCTTTTCCAACCCAGTTCTGCTCTGTCAATTAGCTCAAGAGTTCAGTGACCCCGGGAGCCTCCAAGGGCTGAGCTCTCCCCGCCTGCCCAGCGGTGCCTGTTRCAAAAAGGATCGTAAAGACACCACGGGCCATGCTGCCTGGGATAATTCARGTGCAGTTACTGTATTAATCCACTTTTTCGCAATGAGAGGAATGTTCAGTATTTTAAGATTCGGAGACATGAAGGAAGAAGACACTTCGGAAAACTCTCCTTGCCAGTGCACATCTTTACCTGGAGCACATTTTGGGTTATTTTGTGGGTAATTACTCAGTTTTGAGCTAAAGGTATTTCAGAATTGGTCTTTGTTTGTGGGGATATATTCTCCTGCAATATTTTGTTTTGATAATTTTTATCCTGTTGTATCAGAACTAGACCCACAGCCTGACTGAGCAGCCTCAGTGGTGTCCTGGGTTAACCCCACTTAGCCCTGAGCAGCCACTCCCTCCCTCCCGACCCACAGCACYGGASAGAGAATCAGAAGGGTAAAAGACAAGAGAACTCTGGATCGAGGATTTATTTTAAATTGCAATGTAATATTAAACTTCAAGTCTAAATGACAGGGATATTTAATAATAAAAATTTGAGATTCTGAGGGATTAAGAAACAGGGACAGTTCTTTGGAAGACACAGACTTTTTGCCTGCAATCTCTTTTGGGTTCTTTTGTGCAGCTCTTCAGTGATGTGGCCATCTGAGGAGTTAAAAATATTTTCTTGGTGAGACAATCCTATAATTTATTCCCTCTTTTTCCCTAGTTTATACTCCCAAATTCACATGAACACAGCCCAGGGTGTGCTTTAGTCTCCAATGGACAGGTGGATCCACATGCACAGCTCTGTCCTTGACAGCGACTTGGTCTCTGCACTGCAGCTGCTTCTCCATTCTGGTGGAGACTYTTTTCCCTGGATTTCCTGGATCCATCTCCTACATGGAGACACTTGATGGGGAGGCCCATTTGTGCCAACTACATCACTCCATATATCCTCATTTAAATCATTGMTTGTTTCTAACTGCCTCATTTAGAATGACAAAAGTTAATCTGTTGCTTTTGTAGTGGAATCAGTTTCTAGGAAAAAATCCCAAGCTGCAAAACATTGAACCACTGTTGAGCTGTATTTCCCAATATCCCATCTTTCCTGTAACAG